TTTCACCGATTCAGTGCTCTTAAGCACTTTGCGCCGGATGCCTCAATTGAAGATATATTTGAAGTCCTTCAGAAGCATGCTTTATTAGTGCAAGGACTCTGGGTTCCCAAGAGTTCATTATTATTTCCGGATGATCCATATAAATCTTTAGCTAGAGACTATGTGCTTCTTTTATTTAGCAAGAATCCAATAATAAGCTTAGCACAAGTAAATGCCCTTTCCCCAAGTCGCAAAGAAGAGGTGAAAGGCTTCCTGAAAATTTTAGCCATTGAAAGGCCATCCTTCAAAGATTGGAAGTTGAAAGAGAATGCTGATGAAGTATTCAAAAAACTCTATCCAGATATTGTGAAGAATCAAGAACAGATTTGGAGAGCTGGAGAAGATAATGTAATTAATCATATTTGTCGGGGTGCAAAAGGTGGCCCTAATAGAACAAAGCCTGGCACAGTTATTAAGCCTGAAAAAGCAATGAATTCTGATAAAGGTGTGCGAAAGGTTGCACCTGCAGCGCAAGCTGGGAGGACAATGGCCGATGAAACTCGAGAAGCTATACCAAAGGCCCTGAAAAAGGTTTTTCAAACTCACAAAGTTTGCAGGTATGATTGTTCGAGGCTTTAACAGTAGACATTTCAAACTTGATTGTTTATTTCATTCATCCCATCCTATATTAAATATGTGAGTTTGTTTAATTTCTACTGATGAAAGCTTCTTTACAATTTTGTGGCACTGCCTGTTTGTCGTCAGCTTGCAACTGATTCGCAAAGGTCTAAGGGATTTGGCTCTTTCCCAGTCTACCCTTCCCAAGGCTGATGCTAGAATGGTAGTTAAGGCAGCATATGGTGCTGATGCACCTGAACATGAGCTCCAGGAAGTCGTAAGTGAAGTTGCAGTAGAGCTTCATGGTGGTCTTTTCGTTCTTAGGTCATCCCCAGAGCATCCAGAATATGATCCATTGAGGTTACATAAATATGTTCAATTAGTATTTAAATGGGAAGAGATGTTTATGGTCTCTATTTTCTTTTTACAAAATCCCTCTTTTTCATCAGAATTGTTCTTTCCTTGCAGGGAAGTTGTGATTAATCTTCTTCGTGTCAAAGGGAAGCTTAAGAAGGCTGATGTCTCAGCTGCTGCCCTTCTTAGTCTTAAGAGGGAAATTTCTAATAATGAGTATAACAAGGTATTCTATCGAACTAGCTAATATCCTGTTTTTTGAGATTGGTTTTGATTTTTTCCGTGAGAGAATCTTCGGTGTTGGTATCACTTCACTAGATTGCCTTTAGGATTAGACATGGTTCACCATGAAGAGATTTTATGTTTGTGGCATTACTCACATGAGGCGTATATCATGATGTAAGAAAGTATAAGTAGACTAGTAGAGTGATTGTGCTATTACATTATCATGCTGCCATTCCAGTAGAAGTTAACATTAAGATGAATATGTTAAGAGTATGTGGAACGCCATAGAGATAACCATACAAGAAAAGGTTGTTATGCCGATTAAGATTTCAAGATATGCTTATCTTTTGACGGGCATTACATAACATGGACATTGCTAGATGTGTGTACCTTGTATCCCCCTGGCAAGATCTTACTAGTCGGTTCTCTTTTCATTCTGTAAGGTAACTCAGTAATTTATAACTTAAACCGAACCCGGTTAATAATTATATGCAAGCAGGCATGCATTAACAAAACTAGGCTTTGGAATATTATCGGGCATTTGCATTGATTGGTGTAATCGGATATTATCCAAAGGCATCTGATCCATCATTTCCTCAGTCATATTCTAAAAGGTTATCTCATTTTGCAGGTCATGAGCGATTTTTGTGAGTATAAAAGCAGCTGGTGGGTCTTGAAAAGTGGTGATGGAAAGCCAAGCTAATTTGTATATACTACCATTCATTCAATTGCTGACGAGATCAGGTATAGTTGCAAAGAGGAGCTAGTTGACTAGATCATGTACAAATTTTTTGTTTTGCATTTTATACGAGAAATTTTGTGATAGCATCTTTTGATGGTGGAAAATTTATCTGCCTCTCTCAAGCTTATTGATCTTTTAGGTGTTTTGATGCACTCTGATTTTTGGTGGAATTCACATATCACATCATATTTTCGTTTCAGAAATTGCAAATGCAATAAAGAGTTTACATTTGATGCATTATAAATGTATAAATTTTAAAGTAAAATATTTTGATTTTTTAAATTTTGATCGAAATTATATAAAAGTTCATTAGTTTTCAAAATAAACATTCTGTTTTAAATTACAAATACTGTTAATGGAAATAATAAAATGTCTTTTTCTTTAATTAATTAAAAAAATTATTATTGTATTTTTAAAACAAATGAAAAAAATAAGTTCTATTAAGGTTGGTGCTCCCCAAAGGAGAGGAGTACCAGATCAATGCTCCCCAAAACAGGGGAGCACTGGTGTTCCCCTTACGAGCTCGATTTTCCCCTTGCTCCCCAAAGGAGGGGAACATCGATGCTCTTGGGCTCCCAAGGGGAGCACCCCGATCGGTCTCCTTAAGGGAGCATCGGTGCTCTCGATCAGGCTCCCAAAGAGAGCTCCGGTGTTTTTCAATAAAGAGTTTTTTTTAATTAATAAAAAATAAAAAATTATATAATTATAATTATAAAATTAATTAAAGATAAAATTATTTTTTTATTTTTATCACATTAGTAAGTTGATGAAAATATTAAAAGTTGATTAATAGTTGAATTTATGTATCTAACGAAAAATATTTTTTTTGAGATAATGTCTATTTTGAAAATTAATGAAAGAGATTAAAGTATTTTATTTTAAATTTTATATAATATGAAAAATTAAATATGATTACATTATTAATAAATAAATAAAAATAGTATTCATAATTTTAAAATATTTATATTAAAATATTTTAAAATTTTATTTTTATACATTTATTAAGTGAATTTTATGATTAAGTGAGTTTATCAGCATTACATACATGTCAAATACTCAAAAATAAAATATGAAATTAATGTGTTTATAATTAAAAAATAAAAAAATAATTAAGTCTTAGAGACTACAACGTTATTAATTATATGATTTAGAATAGCCTAAGCTTTGGCTGCCATAGGTGAAGTATTTCACGTTAAAGTAAAGATAGATTTAATAATTTTAGATAAGACACGCTAACATGATATGGAAAGATACAAAGTTAAATAGATTTAAATTTAATTTTAACATATTTCTGACACATTTAAAATATAAAAATTTACATATCTTAATGTGTCTGACATGAGTGATACATTTAAAACATGTTTAATTAATCATATTTAAATGTATAAATATATTTAATTATGTTATCGTGTTTACATAACACATTTATCAACTTGTTAAAAATTAATAATTAAAGATTATTTTAATCTTACTTAAATAATTTTAAATAATTATTTTAATAAATTTTTTAAATTTTATAAAAATAATAATATAATTATGCCATGCTCAAATCCTAATTTTAAATTTTCATTTGTTATACTTGATATTATTGTTTTTTTGTTATAATTGTTTTTATAATTATTAATTTTAAATTTAAATAATAAAATTATATTTAATTATAAAATATTTTTATTTAATTATATTAAATATATTAATTACGTTATTAATCATGTCGTGTCATATATTGATATATTTAATAATCATGTTAATTATGTTATATTATATTATTATTAAATATATACACATATGTATTTTAAATTTAAAATATAAATAATATTTTTATTGTATTTGTGTTTAATTTTAATATATTTTATATTTAATAATATCTTATATATTTAAAACATGAAAATACGCATTGCAAGATATAAGTAAAAAGAGTGGATCCGAACAAAAATACGACTTAATTTTACCATATAATAATCCATTGCGCATTGACGCTGCCCGTATTCCTTAAATAGGACTATCTGAAACCCAAAATTCCCTCCTCCGAAAAAAAAATCTAAAAACAGTAGGAAAATAGTCGAACAAAAAAAAATTACCCAACGAAATCCGCCAAAAAGAAGATGACCGAGTACGAAGCGAGGTACCAAAGCAGCGGAGAGGACCGAGAAAACAGCTACGGCGGCGTTCCCTCTCCTCAGCCTCGGGAAGGTAGTCACGGCGGCCTTGATGATCAACGCGGTTCCAAATCTCAGGTACGTATGTTTCCTATGACGAGATCGCGTGAAGTTAGGGTTCCTTTTTCCCTTACTTTTCCAGATATCAGTTTTTGCTTGTTTGGTCTCTAATTTTTTTTATAAGAAATTTAGAGGAATGTTCTATTGGTTAAATTTCTATAGTTTTTTTTTGTAATTTTAGTTGTATAAAAATTTGGAACTCATTCCTGAGCAGTGAATCTCTTTGGGTTAGTTTGAATTAGGTTTTGCTCATGGAATTTGGCCTGTTTCTTAAATTAGGTATTTTTTTCCTAAATCAGGCATTTTTTAGCATTATAATTGTGGATTTCATGTTTGTTATTATTGATGTGACTAAACTATTTGCAGCATGGATCTGGTGATTATGAGAGAGGGTCTTCTAGAAGTAGGGAAAAGGAGAAAAGCCGCGATAAGGAAAGGGAGCAGGATCGTGATCGCCCCAGGGACCGGGAAAGGGACAAGGACAAAGAGAAAAGTAAGGAAAAGGATCGTGACCGTCATAACAGAGATCGTCATAGGGATCGAAGTAGGGAACGGAGTGAGCGGAGGGAGCGGGGGAGAGATAGGGATGATGATGACTATCACCGAAGTCGACACTATGACAGGTAGCATAATAAATCAATTCAAGCTGTCTTGAGTTTTGATTCATCTTTTTGTATGATGCTCTTTGTTCTTATTGCTAATTGTTGAAAGAGTTATATTTTTTAAATGTTGTTTACAGACGAAGGGATTTTGATGGAGACAGGGAGGACAGGCACAGGCTCCAGTCTCGTCCAAGGGGTAGATCTGAACACAGATCAAATTCAAGGTCCCGCTCACGCTCACCCTCAAAGAGGTATGTTATAAAAAAACATAGCTTCCCTTGTTTTAGAATTTGAAGCAGTACTTTGTAAATTTTAGCATTCTGCTTTCCTCTTAATTTTATTGTCTAAGTCTTGGTTGTAAAATGTGAAGTTTTTTCCCAGTTTATGTCAGTTATATTCTTGTCCCTGATATACTAACTTTATATGTTTGCACTTTGCAGCAAAAGGATTAGTGGTTTTGACATGGCACCTCCTGCTTCAGCAATGTTAGCTGCTGGTGCTGCTGGTACTGCTGTTGGTGGTGCTGCCATTACAGGTACATAGGCCTTCACAAAAATTTAAGATTGTTATATTTGTTAACTGCTACTTATGTTTTTGGTTGATCTAGTGTGGAAAGGTCGTATCAAAATACTGGTGTGAATTGGGTAAGCTGTATTTTTTCTCCCATTTTGTATATATAGACTCTTAAGCTGCGGTCTTCTGGTAGGGATTTAATTTTTTTTAAAAATATTTTTACTTGGTGAAATAATTCTGGAACTGAGAGAGTTTTTGGTTTTGTCTTTTGTTTGGTGTTTGTTTGTTTGTTTCTATGGTTTTGTCTTTGTTGTAAGAAGGCAATGGCGTGAGCCGACTTCTGTAGCTTTTATGTACAAGGAGGAATCAATGCACCAGTTTAATGGTATTGTTCGTCTTTCCACTGGCGACTATTGCCTTTCGGGTAGTCTTGCTAATATTTCCTCCACAACTTGTGTATGATTTATTCTTTTCATTTTTAATCTCTAAGAGGTTAGATTTGCTATGGGAAATTAGGAATAAATGTCCATTTGTTGAATCAACCACTATAGAAACACTACCCTGAATTACAATTATATCCTTATATGAAATCTGAATTTCCTTTGCAGGCCAGATTCCTGGGACTAATCCAGCCCTACCTGGAGTGTTTCCAAGCATGTTTCCTCTAGCAACTGGTCAGGTAAGTATTTCTCTCATGTGTATGTGATAGTTGCGGGCTTGCTATTTGTTCTGTAATTTTGTTTAATTTTGGTCTTCTGCAGCAGTTTGGTGCTCTCCCTGTTATGCCAATTCAGGCTATGACTCAGCAGGTTTGGAGGATTATGCATTCCTTGTAGTATAGAGCCTAGAAAATATATTTTTTCACATTAAAGACAGTTATATGATTTTTCTTGTGATTTCAGGCTACTAGGCATGCTCGTCGGGTCTATGTTGGAGGGCTTCCTCCTACAGCAAATGAACAGGTTTTACTTTACACTATGTTTAGTATAATTATCCTCATGTTTGCGTTTGGTGCTGGTACTGACCTTTAATTTTATATTACAGTCAGTTGCAACCTATTTCAGTCAGGTTATGGCTGCAATTGGTGGAAACACTGCTGGTCCAGGTATACAGAAATTTTTTTGGTCTATTGAATGACTGAACTAACTGCCTTCTTTCTCTAGTTGCTCACCCTTTTATGTTACATTCAGGGGATGCTGTTGTTAATGTTTACATAAACCATGAAAAGAAGTTTGCTTTTGTAGAGATGAGATCCGTTGAGGAAGCCAGTAATGCAATGGCTTTAGATGGGATTATCTTTGAGGTATTTTTATTTTCTTCACGATCTTCATTCTAAATTTGTTTAAGTACAAGTGGTATTAACTTTTTGAATTTCCAGGGAGCACCTGTGAAGGTGAGGAGACCCAGTGACTATAACCCCTCGCTTGCTGCAACCCTTGGTCCGAGCCAACCCAATCCCAATCTTAATCTAGCGGCTGTGGGTCTAAGTCCAGGTTCTGCGGGTGGGCTTGAGGGTCCGGACCGTATTTTTGTGGGAGGACTTCCCTATTACTTCACAGAAGCACAGATCAGGGAGTTGCTAGAGTCTTTTGGGCCTCTTCGAGGTTTTGATCTAGTAAAAGATAGAGAAACAGGAAACTCAAAAGGCTATGCCTTTTGCGTTTATCAAGATCTGTCAGTTACAGACATTGCTTGTGCTGCTCTAAATGGAATTAAAATGGGTGATAAAACTCTCACTGTTAGGCGAGCGAACCAAGGTACTACCCAGCCTAAACCTGAGCAAGAGAGCATACTCCAGCATGCACAGCAGCAGATTGCTCTGCAGGTGATATTAAGTATTATTATTATCATCTTATACTGTGGCTCTATTGCAATTATGGGCTGTAGATTAAGTATTGGGTGTTGTTTATAGGCTAATTCGCTGAATCCTTTTATTTTTCCAGAGGCTTATGTTGCAACCACAAGGTGTGCCCACAAAGGTTGTCTGCTTGACTCAAGCACTCAGTGAAGATGATCTTAGAGATGATGAGGAGTATGACGACATTGTTGAAGACATGAGACAAGAGGGTGGGAAACATGGTAAAGGTCTTAAACTATTTGTGCCTCATTTTTGTTTTTGACCTTCCTTTTTAACATGCAGAGTGCCTTGAATGTTTTATTAATTATCTTTGTTTCTTGTGTTCATATTTCCTTCTGTCTTACTGCCCTTTCTAGTTCCACTTTCTGCTGTAAACAATGTTTAACGTACACAAACTGAAGACACCAAACCCCTTTATCTATATTTTCTTGATACTGTTTTCTCAAACTAATTCTTTGAACAAAGTTTTTTGTGGATTCGAAATTTTCACACGTAATATGCAGGTGTATTGGTGAATGTTGTCATCCCCCGCCCAAATCTAAATGGCGAACCATCAGCAGGTGTTGGGAAGGTCAGTCCTGACATTTTTTCGTTCAACTTACATATGCTAATTATAAGAAATTCACATATGCATTTTCCCCGTTTACTGACTGTAATTCTTTGATGTTATAGGTATTTCTTGAGTACTTGGACGTTGAAGGTTCCAGAAAAGCCCAAGCTGCAATGAATGGGCGGAAATTTGGTGACAATCAAGTTATTGCCGTGTTCTACCCAGAGAACAAGTTTGTGCAGGGGGAGTACGATGCCTAATAATTTTCTGTGCTATGCATTTAGCGTCATAGTTGGGATGATTCCATGTTTAGGTTTAAATATAAGCTGGTTTTTGAATTTTGTTGATGACAGCCTGTGGTGTAATTCTCTGCTAACTTTTAGCTGTTAAACTGAACGAAACAGCGAACGGAATGTGGCTTAATATGGTAATCTAGTTTAGGGTTGGACGGATGTGGTGACGCGGTGTTTAAAATCTTATGTTGGTTTTGCACTTATAGCAAGGTCTATGAGATTGGCACAGCTAGTGTTGGAACCATCTTTGAGAAGCTTGGGTTAATACCAAAGTTAGAAATGCACTGCTGACGAATTGGCTCTCTTGGAAATTCACAATCAAGTAACATTATCATTAGTACCGCATTTCCACTGTTTTATTCTCAAACTCGCTGATAGGATTATGGTTTAAGCATTTTAAAACCAGAATCATCCAACCACAACGGAAAAATGTAATGTTCATTCTACCACTTCCATTTAATTTAAATAGCTGAGTCATACTGGTTTGTTACTGATTGTGAAGGAAAATGGTTATTTCGTTTTTTTTTTATTTTTTATTCTAACGGATATTAAAATAAAATTTTTGTTTTTGATTATTTTATATTACAAAATTTGAAAGTTTTATTAATATAAATAGTCATGTTTTTAATACCAAAAAAATTATAATATAGAGAATAAGTATAATATAGAGAATAAGGGTATTAGTTGTTTGAAAAAGAGAAAAATATTTTTTGAGATATCTAAAAAGTGGACAAAAAAGGATGAAGAAAAAAAAGAGAGTTTCATACTATAGGAAAAATATGGTTTTGTATATTATTAAAATTATTAAAAGTCACAAAAGATTATTTTGAGTCTCCTCCTGCTAGCATTGTTTCTCTTTTACTAGCTGATATTTTAGGAGTTGCCTGATTTAGAATAATGTAATAAATTATTTATTTTCATCATATATATAAAAAAAGGATTTTTTTAAATAACAAATAAAAAATCTTAAAGTATATTTAGATGTTATCAATTGATACTTACTTTTTCAAAGTACTAAAAAAGAATTAAAATTGTTTTTTATTTACCTTATTCATAAAACAGGTAACAATTAACAAAAATAGCAACCAAGCCAGGAAAGAGTCGAGGCCCGGAACTTTGCTGCCCACCGGGAGACAGAAATTCAGGAAAATATTTCCCCAATTGGCCAACTCTTCTAAAACCCTAAAACTTCTCTTGCCCTTTCTCACTTGACCACCGACCCGAGTTCCCCAACTGCCCTCGTTTCCTCTCCCACCTTAAACCCTTAACCAAAACTCTCTCAAAAATGTCATCTTCTATTCCTCTCCGCCAACTACGCCACCTTTCCACCACCACCACAACCGCCGCCACGTCCTCATCCTCCATTTCCATTTCCATTTCCCAAGCCAAAAACAAACTCCGCACCGAGTACGACCCTGACAAAGCCCTCGAAATCTACTCTTCCGTTTCCAAACACTACTCTTCCCCTTCCTCTTCCCGCTACGCGCAAGACCTCACTGTTCGCCGCCTTGCGAAGTCACGCCGTTTCTCCGAGATTGAATCCTTAATCGAGTCGCACAAAACCGACCCCAAAATTACGCAGGAGCCGCTCCTCTCCACTCTCATCAGATCCTATGGCATCGCTGGCATGTTAGATCATGCGATCAAAACTTTCGATCAGATGGACCAATTCGGTACCCCAAGATCCGCTATTTCTTTCAACTCCTTACTCTCTGCCTGCAATCAGTCGAGGCAATTCGATAAAGTCCCCCAACTGTTCGAAGAAATTCCCAAAAAATACGGCAGTGTCTCACCTGACAAAGTTTCCTATGGGATTTTAATAAAATCTTATTGCGAGGCGGGTCATCCCGATAAAGGGATTGAGGTTTTAAGAGAAATGGGTAGGAAAAGCGTGGAGGTAACTGCGGTTACTTTTACTACAATATTAAATGCTTTGTATAAGAAGGGGAAAACAGAAGAGGCTGAGAAGTTGTGGAGTGATATGATGAAGACTGGTTGTGAATTAGATGTTGCTTCTTATAATGTTAGGATCATGAATTTGCAAGGCGGCGAGCCGGAGAAAGTGAAGGAATTGATTGACGAGATGAGTACCATGGGTTTGAAGCCAGATACGATTAGTTTATAATTATCTCATGACTTGTTATTGTAAGAATGGGATGTTGATGAAGCTAAGAAGGTTTATGAAGGTTTGGAAGGTAATGGGTGTAATCCAAATGCGGCTACTTTTAGGACTTTGGTGTTTTATTTATGTTTGAATGGGTTGCATGAGCAAGGTTATAAGGTGTTTAAGGAAAGTGTGAGGTTGCATAAGATCCCAGATTTTAATACGTTGAAGCATTTGGTGGAGGGGTTGGTGAAGAAAAAGAAGATCAAGGAGGCGAAAGGGTTGATCAGGACTGTAAAGAAGAAGTTTCCTCCTAATTTTTTGAATGCTTGGAAGAAGCTTGAGGAGAAACTTGGCTTGGTTTCTGGTAATGCTGGTGGTGGTGAAACTCAAGAAGCTAAAGAGGCTACAGGTTAGAGGTGGGGTGGGCTTTGGTTGTTATTTGCTTGTGGCTGAGTTAAGCTGCTTTCATTTCACCTGCAGCTGAGAATGATCTGACTTGTGATGAAGTATGCGATTAGCCATGTTAATTTCAGGTGAAGCTGCAACTAAAGCTTGAATGGTGATGATTTTTAGCTGCAGATAGTTTTACAAGCATCAATTCTGCCTGAATTGTAAGGATTGATGTTATTTTTGGCTAGTTGTTTTATGGGTGTACTTGTTTTGGAAGGAAAAGAACATTCTAATAATCTACAATTTACTTATTTCAATGAATTTTCTGGTTAACTTTTTTTCTTGTTGGATTTTAGTTTAGTTTGTCCATGACATTGAGCTTTGTTCTATGTCTCTTTAAATGGTTTTTGTTGATGAATGTTTTCAAACTATTCCCCACCATTTTCAGTGTGTGGCTGCAACCCGAGCATCCTCTGCAACACTAACTGAAAAATTTCTACTCTGAAACCAATTAAAGGCTGAGTTTACATGTTCACTGAAGCACTGCTCCTCAGTCTTGACTGCTAAGGTTCGGTTGCTGTAGCCTTTTACTGTAAAAAACATTGGCTACTTCAAGTAAAGGACGTCACAGCTCCTTAGGATTTCCAATTTCCAATATACAGAATTGTTCCCAATACCGTTAGCTGTTGTATGCCAAGAGGATATTTGGTACTACTAATTTTGTTTTCCTGAGGAGCTTATTATGCAAAATCAATAGTAGAAATAAATTCATAAATAATAAATAATCATGCACTTGAAAAGAAAATGCATTTTGGTATGTGGTTCTGATAAAAATTTGGGTAAATTCTATTTATATTCTTGTAATTTCAACTTTCTGTCAAACGATATCTTGTGATTTCTCTTTTTTCTTCAATTAACATTTTGTGAATTTTATTTATTTAACATCTTGTGAATAACTTTTATTCTCACAAAATGTTAGACTGTTTATTTTGTGGAGTAAAATTATAAAATATACTCTGTAGCCTAAAAATAGTTGCCCACAGGAATATGGGCAGAGAAAAGCCCATTATCTATTTAATGGGCCAACATAGCGGGGAAAGTATCGTTTTTTGTTGGGGCCTGGATGTCCGTTACTAATTCAACGGTTCATGGGCCAACTGACAGGGAATTAGACTTAGAAGCCGTTACTAAATGGGCCAATGTGAAAAATATTAAAAACCCTAACTTGGGCTTGTAGTACACCACGAAATGCAACCCATCGCTTAACCTCCCTCTAGTTCTAGGTCAGAAGTCTCCGGAGAGCGGAAACCAGAAACGCGAAAGAAAAGAGCATAATCAGGGTTTTAGCAAAAGAACCCAAGACATCAAAGTAAAGAGAAGGGAGGAACAGGGAATCCACGCAAAATGACTACGCGAATCGCTCCAGGAGTTGGAGCGAACTTGCTTGGTCAACATTCCGCCGAGAGGAACCAAGACGCCACTGCTTATGTGGGCAATCTCGATCCTCAGGTTCCAGCTAATTTCCTTTTTTTCACCTTATTTTTCTCAATATTCTTTACCTCATAGTTTCAATTTTTATTTTCTTTTTACTTTTCAGGTATCTGAGGAGCTACTATGGGAGTTATTTGTTCAAGCCGGTCCCGTTGGTGCGTTTGATAGTCTTAAAGTTTGGCAATTTATTTTACTTTTAAGCTACTGAAGCTTATTTTTTATTTATTGGGAGTGAATTAATTGGAAATGCTTTGGTTTGTTTTTGTTATTTCAGTTAATGTTTATGTGCCAAAGGATAGGGTGACAAACCTGCATCAAGGATATGGATTTGTAGAATTCCGAAGCGAAGAAGATGCTGACTATGTAAGTCTTACTCCTTATGGACCGCGTGGCCATTGGTTTCCTTTTCCTTATGTCTTTGCTTTTTGAATAATTAGTTTTATTTGGTTGCATGTGTAGGCGATTAAGGTGCTCAACATGATTAAGCTTTATGGAAAGCCAATACGTGTAAATAAGGTATGAAATTTGATTTTGATTATGTTGGAAATGGGAATGATGTTGCCATATTTTGGAGTTAAAGAATTATTATTTTTGGATTAATTGTTATTGGTTTTTTCTACTTTGATCGGTCTCAGGCATCTCAAGATAAAAAGAGCTTGGATGTTGGTGCAAACCTTTTTATAGGGAACCTTGACCCTGTAAGTATTGTATATTATATCATTAGAAGTGTAGAGATGCCATTGACTAGATTTCCTGTTTTAACTTTGTGATTATCTGATCATACATGCAGGATGTGGATGAGAAACTTTTGTATGACACTTTCAGTGCTTTTGGAGTCATTGTAACAAATCCCAAGGTACTGGCTTTCTAATTTCCTTTTGATTTAATTCCATTTTTTCTGATGTTATGCCATGGATTAATGACCTCTGGTTTCTCCATATATCAAAATGTATGCCTGCATATCTTCACATTCCTGTTTAGTTTTGATGCTCTGCTGCTTCTTGATGCCATTTATAATTAATCAACCATCACTCCGGTATTTTTGAGAAAAAAGAAACTTTAAAGGGTGTTGAAGCCTTCTAGATAAAGAGTTGAACTAAAGCCTTTGCCATCATAATTTTATACATGATTGATGTTGAGTTGAGATGATGTTAGAATCTGTGAGATGTAATAATTGATGGAAGAAGAGCAGCAATAACTTGTTACTTTTCTTAATTTTAATTGTATCATGAGGTTTTTGGTTTTGCTTAGCATGTCACTCACTTGATAGCGTTTGATTTAATAGTTCATATAGAGTGGTAAAGGGAGGAAAAAAAGGAGGAAAAACAAGAAAAATTTTAGTAATTGATATTTTAGTTTGGAGATATGCTTCTGTTGACTGTATTTCTTGGATACATGTGGCTCTACTCTTCAACCTCATGGTTAAATAAACATTTCCTAGGAAATGCTTCTATTGACATCTAATAATCACAAGTATTTATTTACCCTTATGGAAGGTTTATAAACTGAGTTTGCTAGTGCCTATGTGAAATTATAAATATAAGGAGAATTTACCTTTTATTGCATCTTATAATCGAAATGTGGACTAGGTGCTTTTCAATTCCTTACACACATCAAGTAGGGGGAGCTTTTTATTCAAGTGATTAATTTTTGGGTAGATTGACTGAGTAGGATGGACTATTTATGCTATGAGCAACCAGGTTTCCTAAAGATAATTTTGGTTTTGAACATATTTTCATGGTCATAAAATGACATAATCTATTAGATGGACTGGAATGCTTATATACCTTAATTTTGTTTCAGGAGAGATGAATGATACGAAAACTAATTGTGAGTCCTAGTCTCATTCTGCTCATCTCTTGAAAGGAATTGATAGGGGGTTCAGAAAATGAATAAGAAGTTGCTAAATATTTAAAATAGTTCCTTTTTTTTTCCAGCATTTTGTTTATTCTCCACTACTTGCTTGTGGTTTCTGATATTTACCACTTTGTGACATCAGATAATGAGAGATCCAGAGTCAGGAAATTCACGTGGTTTTGGATTTATCAGCTATGATTCATTTGAGGCATCTGATGCAGCTATTGAGGTATATCTGCATTGCCACTTGCATTTACGTGAACTGTTACCAAGATTACATCATGAGAACATTTGGATGAAACCTTGATTTTGTTTTTCTGGAGTTCGTGGTGAATTTTTGGAGTAACATAATTGTTTACAACTGTACTTTCTGGCTTCAATTTTAAAGAGCTTCATGGCAAATCAATTTAGGATTAGGAATCTTATTTGGCATAACTTCTCGCTGATTGGTTTGGTTCTTGGTGTTAGCTTTTAACAGTTGGGAAGAATTTGTTATCATTCAAAAATTTTGCTAAATGGAAATAGTTATTGCTGTTGTCACTGCTTTCATTGTTCAATATGTGATGTGAAGTCTAAATACCTTTGATTTGGTTTCATCTATCTTGCAAAATGTGTTCACTTTTTCTCTTTGATGTTACAGGCAATGAATGGCCAATACCTCTGTAACCGTCAAATAACAGTTTCTTATGCATATAAGAAAGACACCAAAGGGGAGCGCCATGGCACCCCAGCAGGTGAGTTTTTCCACCTGCATCCCACCTTCCCCTTGGTCCCTCTGTTCTTTTTTTTTCCCTTCGGCGTATAGATTGCTATGTACGTTTTGGAACTTATTCTAAAATAATTTTTTTAAAAAAATTTCACTTACCATTCTTGTTATACAGAGAGGGTTTTGGCTGCAAGCAACCCAAATGCCCAGAAGAGCAGGCCCCATACTTTGTTTGCAAGTGGACCTCCATCACTCCCCTCTGGCCCCCAGGCCAACGGTGCTATAGGTGCACCAGTGCCTCCACGACCTTTTGCAAACGGTAGTGTTCCTCCTGGCCCGATGCCTGTAGTTCGTCCTCCACCGCCACAAAGTGTACCCTTCCCACCAATGCAGGTTCCTGGACAAGCACCTTGGCAGGGTCAGCCACAGCAACCAGGTCAACCAATTCCGCCTCCAGTCATGCCTCCTCATATGCAGTTTAGACCTCCTCCACCAAATATGCCACCACCACCACCTCCACAGGCAATGTCTGCTCTTTCAAGACCTCCCCCACCAATGGGAATGGGAGCATCACAATGGCCACCACCGCCACCACCACAGCAAATGGTTGGAAGGCCCCCCATGCCACAAATGTCAATGCCACCCCCTCCCCCACCTCCATCTACAAGTTAAAAGATCCGAAAGTCTGTTTCTCTTGATTTACTAATTGTAGTTGCATTTTGGTTTCTCATGGTGATGCGAATGATTATATGAATTGTTCTCTATTGATGTATGCATACCCGAAAATTTGACTGTAGATGGGGTGATCGTCCGCTACTGCAAATTCCTTGATGCTAACATGTTAATGTCTTATAAGTTTCTAGTTTCATGTTGAAATCAAAGTGCTTGGAATATCATATATCATGAGCAAACTAGCAATGTTTCCGTCGTTTTGGCCTTTGGGTGAGCTCCTCACATTTTGTTTGTTTTAAGAGAAGTGGGTTCCGTGCTGTAAGAGTCGGTGATGGAGCTGCCACGTCTGTGATTGATAAGTTTCTAGTCATTTTACGAGATTGCAATAGTTTTTCAAAAAATATATTTCCGCTGCCGGGATTCGAACCCGGAATTTTAAGAATATAATTCTTGACCAAGCGTTTGTGCTACAGCGGGTTTTATGATCTGGTTATCAAAGTTAATATATATATTGAGAAGAATATGAATTAATAAGATCCTTCCAATTAGTGAGAAAATCTTAAATGAGGGGTTATTCACTCTATATTTTTCAAATACGAAAAAAACCTAGATGAATTTTGTAAAAGTTATGACAAATTAAATCGGTCATATGAAAATTGAAGCATTTTTTACAAAACTCAATCAACTTTTGCTATTGTTTAGATGCATTAAGATTTAGACTGAATTTATCATTATTTTATATTCATTAACAATTAAAAAAAGAAACATATATAAATATTATTTTTAGTTATTTTTTATATATTAGAGATTCATTGAAACAAATCTGTTTAATTTTACCAAACTTGTTTCCAAATTCATTTCATTTTATCGTTTTAATTGGGAAACATTTCTCACTTACCATAAACATAAATAAATACATCTAATTATTATCTTTCACAAATAAGTTAAAGATAAATATATAGAATTCTATATTCTTGTTAGATTACAATTTGACAATTTAAATTATGATTTGAAACGTTACAAAATTTTTGTTACTTATCAACAATCGTATCGTTTCATTTGTATCGTTTCATTAATATCATTTTAATTATATAAATTTTATTTTTTATTGTAAGAAACAAAGCCATTGCTATATGTCTTAACTATCATGACAAGCCACCAAGGTCAAGGGACGCCGCCGTCAAAAGATTTTTCCGACGATGGAATCGGCCGTGGCCTAGGAAGATCGCCTGAGAGTTCCTACAACGACAGTTCCAAAACTTCGTCCAAATGTTTACCAAAAGGTATAACTAATGAGCCTGGGATCAAAAGAAAGACGCCTTCGAAAAAAGAGAACGTGCCCTTGACTTCAGAATCAGTAGAGGAGCGAATGAGCACTTGTGGTAGTGAAAGAGTTGGTAAGGGGATGGTTTCGTGCTCAGGTACCCCATCGACGCCACCATTATCAACTATACCAACATCAACATGCTGTTCGGAAATTGTGATTCCAGGACCAATCCCGGATTTGTTTGAGCTGATCAACGATCAAAGACTTTTTGTTGGTAATTTCTTCGCGGATGTACCAGAAATTGTGGACTAATGTTACTCCCTGCTCCTTTTTCTTCTATTAGTTTAGGACAATGATTTAGAACGTGGTTCATGGGCTTCATTACGGATCAGGTCTGGTGCAATATGTGCATGAAGAGACCAACAGTAGTTATTGAACAACATCATGGTAAACTTTGTTTGTGGCCCAAATTCTGGACTGCAAAGCTACCTACTCCTGTTGTTCCCAAATCAATGTGTGCCACAAATTGTTTCTATTGTCCGAAGTCCGATCCCTATTCTGCTGGGTCGAATCTAAAACCTGTCATTTTACCAAGAAGGCCAATAACCCAAAGCAGATCTCCATGTAATTCCAACTCATTTTGATTCCCAAATCCTAAGGTTTAAGAAAATGGAAATTCCAACGACAAATCAACCATGAGCTTCCCTAACAGTGACTAAAACTGACTCACAGGCAGCAACATGATAAGATTAAACACTAAACAGTAAAAAGGGGGGAGCTGGCATGCTTGGAAACCAGATACGTAGGATATATCGTATATTCGAAAAATCAAATCTCAAGCTGCCAAAGAGGTTAAAAAAAGGCTGTCTGTCCTACTTTTTTTTATGGGAACAAGTGCGCATCTTAGTCAGTTTCTTTAGGTTGGTAAAGAATCTCTGATACCGTGTATGCTCCTCTCATCGAAATTATCCTTTACAGGAAGTTAAAATTTGAGCTCTTTCCCCTCTGGTTAGGTGAAGGGTAAAAAATTTACCAGGAACTTAGGCCTTTGCGTGCCATTTACGAAACAGAACTGACCCTATGAAAACACCAACTTAGTTAAAACAGGCACTCGTGCTTTTACGGAAGCAGTTGGTCGTCTCACCTTCGCACCTACATGCGTCGACGGAGATAAGCACGGATTGATTGTCAATAGACATTGATCTGCACATCTAGTAGACGAGCCCAGTGCACAACCCTGGGGCAGGGGGCTACTTTGATGAACATATAAGTATTGTATAATTTATATCAAGAACTTGGTTCAATCGATATGGTTGGTGTCGAAAAAAATTAAGATAGTATCAAGTCTT